AGGCCTACCAGATCCATCCATGTTTGTCACTGAAATTCTTTTTTGTCATATATATATATATATATATATATATATATATATATATATATATTCATATATTCATATTTTTTATTCATTCACAGTTGACAGATACTTAATTTGAGTCCATGTCTCAGTTACTGTAAATGACTATTACTGCTGTAATAAATGTGGGAGTGCATACACCTCTTTAACATATTTTGCTATCTCTGTTGGATATACCCAGCAGTGACATTGCCAGATCACACAGTAGTTGGACTTTTAATTTTTTGTAGAGCCTCCAGACTGTTTTCCTTAGTGGTTGCACAAATGTACACCCCCAGCACAGTGTGTAGGACTTCCTTTATCTCTGCATCCTCCTCAGCACTTTTTAAAATTGGCCTTTTCAATAATAGCCATATGTAAAATTTTGTAAGTTCTAACATGTAGAATGGGTGGATATATCTTTTCCTCTCTTGTTTCCTTTCAATATATATGCTACATCAAACCAAAATTTCATGTTATTCAAGACTATTAAAAAGCAGTAGTTACAGGGCTGGGGCTAGGGCTCAGTGATAGAGCTCTTGCCTTGCATGTGTGAGGCCCTGGGTTCGATCCTCAGTACCATATAAATAAATAAATAAATAAAATAAAGGTGTTGTGTTATGTACAACTAATTTTTTTAAAAGTGGTAGTTATATATTTAAAATTACATTGACTTCCATTTGTACAGCAACTTCTTTTAATCATGCACGTCATTGGCATTAGATACCTGGGTCGTCATAAGGCCATGAGAAAGGCAGTACACCATCAGTTTTTCAGTTTTTTGTAATTATCTTAAAGGTTAAAAAAAACTCATTGGGTCACTTGCCTAAAGTGTTCGCCTCTCACTCTAAGTACAGTCCCTTTTGCCCATTTCATACAGAATCTCTTAGAATGACATTATTGAGGAAAGAAGCGGTTTGCTAAAGGAATAGGAATGACTGAGGTGAGGTTTTGAGATGGCTTATTTGATGGATCACACATGAGACACATTGTACTTAAGGCCCCTTATTCTTTCTAGTTAACTCCTTTTTTTCATTTAATATTGCCTAAAAATGAGCTGATATCACACTGAGGTGACAGAAAAAGGTAATTAAAATATTCATATTATACTGATTACCATTTATGTTCTTCATATAAAGTAGTACATATATGTTTTTAATGTGACAGAATTATAATTTTAAATACTGAATTGTATTTTTCTTGGTACATGATTTTTGTTGTGTTCAAGTTTATCTCTTTCTTTCTTCTTCTATTCTGAAAAGCCATTTTATTACAAGTCCAGTTCTTTTTACTTTTATCCACAGGGAAGTCATAATCCTCTACTTAAATAGAAGCTGGTTACCATGGAAATCATTCTAATGCCACTGAATCAATATTTTGATTTTGCTGACATTTAATGTAAAAAGAAAAGACGGGCTAAGATTTATAAAAGTCACTTTTTATCTGTGTTATAATGTTGATAGCTGGAAAATTATAAAGAAAACATGTTCTATAATGAACTCCAGTTAACTTACAATTATAAGGAACTGAGAATCCATAAAAGAGCAATCTCCATATTTATGTAATTTTGGCTTTGAGTTTACACATACCCACACATGCATTTGGACTCAAAAAACATTTCCACACCCCTGAACTGAGATATTACCCATCTCTATACAATAACAACAGATTTTATCCTCTTATTATTGAGGCCATAATGTGTTTGAAAGAGATTTGGCTATACCTAGCTTTACAATTGCCTTTTAAGTGTTCTGAGGAGAGAGTAAAATTTGCATAGAGAATCACTTTTCTATAAAAGCCTACCATTCCTGCACAGGATCTTAGATCATCCAGTTCACTCAGGACCATGATGAACCACAGCTGAGGGATTCCCAATCTATCCTAAGAGCTCCCATTTGAGGACATGCACCTCCCAACCCATCAAGTAATTTTCCAAGTCCAACTTAAGTCACTGATGTCCTAACTTGGTCACTTTGTCCTACTCTACCTTCAGGTGATATAAAAGATTATAGAGATATAAGATTAAGAGAGCCACTGTCTTCTCTTTGGCAAGGAGCCATTGGGAACCCTAGGTCCTTGATGGTGAGTGGATCTGAGAGAGAATGATACCTCCAGAAAACAGATACCTGAAGCATCCCAAATGGAGGGTATTCTGTTCTATTTTTAACATAATTGAATTGTCACTCAAATTTTTTTTCTGTAGAACAGTAACCACGATTTCCCCCACATTTTCACTCTAAGTACCTGTCATCGCTCCCCAGAGGGGGGCTGGGAGCACCTCCCATTCCTTCCAGGAACCCAGGAGGGTTTCTGGCAGCATGACTCACGCTGCTCTCTGGCTCCTTTCCTGCCTGTCTTATCTTTCCTCTCCATTCAGGGGTTCTTTTATTTCTTACTATTCTTCAGTCCCATTCCATATTGCATTCAGGACCCCATCATTCAGAAATCAAGGTCTTAAGTCAGGATCAGTAATCTTCTTTTGCAAATAATCTAATGCTATTGATTATGTAGTATTCTGGCAACTGAAGTGGGAGAGGGCAACTTCTAGACACAGGATCACACAAAATAAACAACACCAGGTATCAATATTAGAGAAAACCTAAGATGATATTTAAAATTTATAAAAGTCATGTCTCTGGAGCCATTTGGTGTATTAACAAGGGAACTAAATACCTCTATGTGTGTCTATGTGTTGATGCGTTACAAGTTGGAGGACATACTGATAACCCTGAATCATGAGGGGGAAAAAATACAATTTCTAATAAATTCTAAGAAGGCAGAAAAAGAACAGTCACCTCCAAATACATACAGACCCACAAATGCACACACACAAGTGTTCACTCTACTACTGTTCCTTCTAGCTAAAAAATTGGAGCCAATGTAAGTATATATCAATAAAATAATAATAAATAAAATAATAAATAAATTCCTATGATGTACACTTCCATCCATTAAAAAGTGATGTTTCTTGACAAATAAAATCCCTAGAAAACAGTCACACGGAATAAGTGAAAATATAACACAGGAAATGCTATGCACTATGATTTCAATTTTTCAAACACACATCCATGTTCATGCTATTTCCATGTGGGCTCTTACATGAATACACATATGTACACATGATGTATTATTCCTATATGTGTAGTAGAGAAAACAGACTAAGAAGAGATTTATCCTTGTTGAATTGGTGGATTACCACTGTCTTCAGGCACTTATTTGTATTATTCAATAATGCAGTCAACTATTGTCTTGGCCAAAGACACTTGGATGCCAGGAAGGGAGAAAGAAGGGTGAAGAGAGAAACTGCATGTACCTCAGGGGCACCTAATCCTGTGGAACAATTTTGAACTTCTACAGAAAGATGAAGACTAGAAGATGAGGGAACTTTCATAGGAAAATGAGGAGTCCAGGTAGCAGAGAATTCTGCCCAGTTGAGAAAAGGATTATGTGCTCCCCATCTCTGCAGTGAACCTCAGCTGAAATTTGATACCTGGGGGACTCAGGGAAGCAGAATCTTCTGCTATGAAGAGAGTCAAGAATATGCAGAGCAGGAGTCTATAGGGCCAGTTGGAGAGCAGGGTTCTCCAACTGGCCACTGGCAGCTTTGGGAATCTTGAGGTGTTTATCACAATTGATAGGTAAAAATCTGAATGGCCTTGGGAAATGGACTGAATGTTGTGGCCCCCAAATTAAAATGTTGAAAGCTTTGTCCCAATATGGTGGTATTTGAAGGGGGAGCCTTTGGGAGGTACTAAGGACTTGAAGGTGGACCCCTCATCAAGTGGATTGGCACTGTTAGAACACAGCACATTCTCTCTTTCTTCTCTTCCCCATGTGAGAATAGCAGGAGACAGCAGTGTACAACCTGGAAGAGAGTTCTACCCAGAAAAGTCCATGATGGTATCCTGCTCGTTCCAGCCTCCAGAACTGTGAAAAATAAAATCTGTTCTTTATAGGCCATCCAGTCTAGGGCAATTTGTTATAGCAGCCTAAACTAAGTCAGTTTGTTTCAAAGTACACTTAAGATGTCTATCCCATTAAGGGGCTCTCAGAAAAAGCTCAGGAAAAGTTGAAACTTACATATTCAGGTGAGGCCTATAGAACTGGTGAGATCCATGGTTGATATGACCTAATTCATAGACCAGTAAGGAGGCTGGGATATATCTGAACTCTATATTTCATAGCTGAGGGAAAATGTGGGCACAGGAAGAAATCAGTAATATAAAGAGACTGAAATGTATAGTATATACACTGTACACACACACACACACACACATACACACATACATGCATGCATTCATACTCACTGGAAGAAAATAATGTTAAAATGATTATCATAAAAGTTATGGTAAAAAAACTTTTTTCCTTATATTGTCCCGCATTAAAACATTCTCCCAATAAACACACAATACTTCCCTCAGTTATTCAAATAATATTAATAAAAGCTAGAAAATATAAATTCTCTCTCTCTCTCTCTCTAAGATAATTTTCAAATGATCCAAAGTGTTAAGAGGGCATTTGAGCCAGGCGCTGTGGTGACACCTCTTATTTCAGAGGCTGGGGAGACTGAAGCAGGAGGATCCTGAGTTCAGCAACTTATTGAGGCCCTAAGCAAGTTAAGTGAAACCCTGGCTCAAAATATAAAAAAGGCCTGGGAGAAGTTGTGCTCCATTTGTGTACAATGTGTCAAAATGCATTGTATTATCATGTGTAAGTAATTAGAACAAATAAAATAAAAATAAAAAAGGCCTGGGGGTGTGGCTCAGTGGTTGAATGACCCTGGGTTCAATCCCAGTCCAAACAAAAAGACAAGGGTATTGAGAACAGACCAATTCAATAACCTTCCCCGTGATTTTTCTCAGGTGGGCCTCCCAGGTGATGCCAGCAGGATCGTGACCCAGGGGGAAGGCAGGGGCTCACTGGCAGAACGGGTCAGGGCGCCTGGCCTGGGAGCTCACCTTCAGGCCTCTCGGCTGGCCTCCCGCCCTTAGTGGCCGCAGTGCTGTTGACCGTCTCCGAGGAGGTGCTCAGCTTGGTGCTGGGGTCCCGCTTGGGCTTGGGTGGTGGCTGTCTCCGGGAGCCACAGCTGCTGTCATCCTCCGTGCCCCCGACCGAGTGCAGGGACTGCGACCTCACGGTGAAGCCACTGGAGCACGGATGGGGAAGTCTGTCCTGAGGGGCCGGCATCGTCATGAATCCCATGCGGAAGTGCTTGCCCACGTAGCCGGCGTCGTGGCCTCGCCCGACCTCCCCACCTATGCTGTAAAGAGAGCAGGCCACAGTCGGTGAGGAGAGAAGGCCCCTGCAGATCCCAGGAAGAGACTATTTATAATGGGCGAAGTCTCCAGTTTTAACTTTAGACCAGTGCAGAAACATATTTCACAGTGGGCTGCATTTTAAAGCAATTTTGAGTAGCATATGAAAGCATTCTGTACTTTTGCATTAAATTATGAACATAAAGCAAATAGGACTTGATTATAATAAGAAATCTTAACATGTATTTCCAGATATCTTTTTGCCCATCTGCTTAGCATCCCAAGGGTGGCTGGGATGAAGCATAACAGACTTTATCTTTGATTGCTTTTCTTTACTTGGAGGTAATGAAAATCTTACCAGTGGCTTAAAAGAAAAAAAAAAGGGGGATCTCCTTTGGCTCCTAGACAACATTTTGATAGATGACTGAGTCCCAGCTCTCAGCCTCAGAGTCTTCTGCACTTCATCAAAATCATCCCTAATTTATCTGCTTAGTATGTTGGGGAAAATTAAACACCGGCAAAAGTTCTATTACCAAACCGAGATGGGGGGGAGATACAGAAAGAAAAAGGGGGGGGGGATAGGAGGAGGTGGAGGTGAGGAGGAGGAGGGAAGGAATGGAGGGAGGGAGGAGCAGGGCAGAAAGAGAAAGTACTTTCTTAAATCAGTGAAGAAACTGCCAACCTCTCCATTCTCCAGAGAGCTTCAGCTACCTTAGTAACTTAGCATTACTAACAGGAGAACCTTATAGAATAAAGAGCAGCATCTAGAAAAGAGGTGTAGTTTAAAATGTAAAGTATAGATGCTGAGATGGCTTTAAATTTTTCACAAGTATTCATGGTAGGCCAAGCTTTCAAATGTAAGGCTCCTGAGTTTTATATAGGAAAGTTTGAACAAACTTTTGAAAATGTTTTGAAATGTTTGTTCAGTTTGAAGTTGAAGATTCATGTAGGAAATGGCCCTTGGGCCTCTCTCCATACTGTTCAGTAATGGTGTCTCTTTTACAACATGAATACAAAGCTGAATTTTTAGAAGATAGATTTTTCTAGAATTTCTCTGCATACAAAGTTCATGCAACAATAGAAAAATTAAAAGGAAGCATAATTACAATTATTTAACAGACTTTTTTAGACATGTATGAATGGGAAAATGTACCTCAAATTTTATAAATTTTGAAAACATGCTGAGTTTGCCATTCTGGGCACATAACTCATGTAGGCATTTTTTTTTTTAACCTTAATTTTGGCAGGCCATGCCCTCATAGCATGATAGAATCTTTAATGTCCTTATAACATTGGTCATAAGTTTAACCAGAGTGGGAACTATCATGAAAAATGAGATTTCTTTTCCTCTTCAATTGGGACTTTTGACAATTACATGTCTGTTCTGAATAAAGCCAGAAAGAACTCAATAAAATCATTAGACTCTGATTCTGGTATTTCATTCCAATGATGTTAGCGCCACTCAATCAAAACTATTTTTATGTATTTCATCTTTTTCTAAATATTTTCAATTTATGTGCAGACACTAACTTTATCATCTTTGCAGTATAAGTGGCTGTAATTCCAGTGTACTAACTAGAGCAATGGATAGCTATCCAGAAAATAAATGACATCTAGTGATAGCTAAGTGCGAGTCTTCATGTCACAGCTACAAGCACCCTAAATCTGTGTATGTGTTTCATCTTATGTGTTTATTTCAAGAGCATTAATCAAGATAAATGAGAAACTTCATCAGAAGGGTTTGTGAAAAATTATTAAGAACTTAAGGAAAAATAAGGGTAGCGGAGGGGAGGGGCAGTCTCCACAGTCTGGGAACATTTGTGATGATTATGGCTTTGATCTTTCCCATGGAAGATAAAATATTTGATTTCATCTAACTTTGCCTTAAGTTGTTTTCATCCCCATGTCTTTTCCTTATTTCTGTCACTGTATCACTAAACAAAATTGGTTTAAGGATTTATTTAGACAGTCTTCTCATTCCTAATAACATAGCCACCTGGGGAGATTTCTGCATGTACTAATGCACACAGGCATTCATGAGTTACTAGAAATAATTATATCAGCAATTTCTCTGTTACTTTTGACCTAAATAAGGCCTACAACTTTCCCAGACAGATAATTAGCTTTGCCTCTACATTTCAGAATTATCTTTTTATCAGCACAAAACAATGTCATCTAACTCTGTCTGCTTTTGTTCACAGATATACTTACACACACACACACACACACACACACACACACACACATACACACATACCTCTTCCAAGAGAAATTTAATGTGTGCTTCAAACAATAGCCGGTATAAGTGCAAGTCTAGTTTAGCAAGGCTGTGCACATAGGATGAGGAAATGGAGCTAAGAATGAGTTGGATACACAAAGGCCATTGTTCAAGTCAAGGATGAGGATAAGTAACAAAGGGGATAGACATCTAGATTCAAGAGACCAGGAAAGATGATCAGTCAAAGCAGACTAAAAAATTGTGGGATGAAGCAGTCTACAATTAGTTTCTCAATTTGATATAAGACCTCTGGGCTTTTAAAAATATGCAGATTCCAGGACCCCATATTAAGGGCAACAACTGAATTGGATCTGTCAAATCAGAATCTCTGTAAGTATGGCCAAGTAGTTTGTTTATAACATCACATTGAAACGTTTTTAATGCAGACAATCCAGGACTTCCCAGAAGCATTAAGAACAATAGAACCATTCCTGAGGCAACATCTATTAGAAACATCCAGAAAGACACAAATAACAGACAGAATGTCGCAGAAAAGCAAGCATGCAATGCATTAGTCAGATTTTTGTTAGGTTATCCTGCAGTAACAAATGATCCCAAGCCTATAGTCTTTTATAACAACTTGTGTAACTACTTGTAGTAACTGTGCTGGCCATTTATCAGCTTGGTCTCTGCTCACATGTGTTCTTCATTCTAGGATCTAGCCCCTGTTAGGATGTTGTTTTCTCACAGAGAAAGAAAAGCATGAATGAATACAACACCCCTAAGGCCTCTGCTCAGTGTGGCACATAATCTTTCATTCACATTCCACTGACTGAAACCAATCTTACAGCAAGGCTTGAAGTCAATGGTGGAGACATTTTCCTCCAACAGCAAAGTAATGCCAGTGACATGATGATACATGGGTGTGCATGCACCTCTCACAGGTGGGAGACCAAATACCTGGTGTGGCAACTCTAGTGTTAATGAAATTTCTCCGCATGAGAGAACTCACCATGAGGAATGAAGGAATGAAGTTAGCTGACAAGACTACCAGTGACCCATCAGAGGACTTTGTGTTTCCAATCTGCTATGGTTTGGATGGATCCCCTCAAAAGCATGCATTGAGAACTTACTCTCTGCTGTATCAGAGCCAGGAGGTAGGACCTAGTGTGAAGTGTTTTGGTCAGGAGAGCTCCGCCCTTATGAATGGATCAATGCTGACTACAGAAGAGCTTGAGGCTTTGAATTCAATCTCTTGCTCTCTTATCCTGTGATGACTTCCAGCATGTTCTATGAAGCAGGGAGATATCACCAGGTGCAGCCCTTTGTTCTTGGACTTCCCAGCCTCCAGAATATTGAGCCAAATGAATTTCTTTTTTTTTCCTAGTAAGGTATTTTTATTTATATATTCCAAAGCAAAACTCCTTGTCCCCAAAACAACAAACCATATATTAATGCATAAAAAGTGTATTAATACAAAGTCACAAAATCATGTTAATTGTACCTCTTTACTTTGACCCATGGATTTTCTCAAAATTCTACCATTCTTTTCATCTTTCAATTTTCTTCACAGATGGCTTGCTTAAAATCTTTTTACTGCATGGCCCTTGTATTGTTGTTCTCTCTACACATCTCCTCTGTGTCCTCAACTATTGTTTACAAATGAATTTCTATTGTTCATGAATTACTCTGTTTGTGATACTCTTTCATAGTAACAAAAATGGACACTATCCTTACAACTGTGGGATCTAAAGGGTTAAAGGTCCTGGTCCCCATAGGAGACACATTTGTTATAAAAGACATAACAAGGATTCAGTGAACAGAAACCTATAGCTACCTCTGAGGCAATTTGAACTTCCTTTGTACAGAGAACAGCAAGCTAGCAGAGGGGTCATCAAGTGGACAATACCATTAACCTTGTTCAGTAGAAAGATGTAGGACTGTTACTAAATGGAGCAGCGAGAAATGTGTATGGAATCAAGGTGATCCACTTGGGTGTCCCTTGATACTCTTGTAACCAATTGTGGCTTTGAAAGGTTACACACAGAAACCCTGGGTCAAGAAGATTATGGTTAGCAATTTCTCTTGAAAGAAAGATGAGTCCCACCACCAAGTAAGCCAGTGAGGCCATCTGAGGTTCTGAAATAGACAATGTGAAGTACAAATGGTGGAGGAGGGAGGTATTGAGCATCAGTTGTGTAAGTGTGCCATAAAGAGGACTTCATTTATCACAATAACTGTACCCTGATAAATTTCCACTCAGGAAGAGCTGGATGGAAGCCAAGAAAGAGCTGGTACTCAAACCTGCATGAGGGTATCAGCTGCATCCAAGTGATGAACTTCAGCATCCATGGAGGTAAATGGTTCAGATCTACCTTCAGAAAACCTTCTCTGAGGAGAAGACTTAGATGACAATTGCCAACCATCTTCAAATTTGCCCCAACATTTTATCCAAGTATACTCTGTCATGGGGAAGCTCCCAGACATTGTATAGTGCAGTGAAGCATTGAATTTGGTTACTTCTAATCATTGCAGGGCAATCCTTGTATCTGGGTTCCCCTGTTGAACTGGTCTAGACTTTCCCATTGTTACACCATAGTCTGAAGCTCTTCCCAATAGATCAATTCTCCTTCCCCCTCTTTTTCATGGATGCCAGACATACACTGTGACCTGAAACTTGCATGACCTGTTCCTCTTCTTCTTTCTTCCTGTCTCACAGGCAGTCTCCTCCATAAATTGCTCACCCTTCTAACACCATCTTGGTGTCCTTCCCAGGGACCTGAACTG